ATGCAGACGACGATCCAATGTTTAATGTCTAAAATAATAAATATTTGATGAAAAAATAATTGTATTTATATCAAGTTAGATCACAAATTGAAATTTACTAGTTTGGTCTGTCACAAACAAAATTTATATTCAAATAAATTTGTACTGGTTAAATTTTGTTTTTAATCCAGTTTAGAAAACAAATTAACTGGTTTAAGGAGGAAAATAATTTCGTCGTTCTTTGGACCCTCGTCGTTCTTTAATTAAAAAGGAATTGAGGAAATAATTGCATTTGATTAGTATAAATTTTGAGGAAAACAAATCTACATTTAATATGTAATAAATTCATGATAAATGGGAAGTGTGGGTATACTCAAGTCAAGGAGAAACATTTTTCTTTTGCTTGCACGTTTTAAGTAATTCGTTCTTTTTTTTGCTAAATGGTCTTTAATTCTATAGAATTCGGTCCGAAGATTTATCTGTCCACTGTCCACCTACTTCCGACCAAAAAATGCGACTGCTAATACAGTAAGAGGGTAGAAATTAATTGTTACCTTTAACAAAAAAAAAAATACTGTATGGTTTTGCTCGCTAATTAACTTCGTCACAAAATCTTGTTGACATATAAAATGTTGATTATAATGTTGAGATATTTATGTACCATATACAGTGTGCGCAATAAAAACATTTGCCAATTCGAGGATTTATTACAAGGTTTTTTCTTACAAATCTAATACTTCCATTTATAGAAACGATCCCGCGATATCGTATTTATTAAATTTCTATATCAAGACATGGTACTTTAGACCGTTACTATATATATATATCCTACATATTTTCCCCACTCCATTCCTATATTTGTAAAGGCGTGTATGTATATGGGTATCTATAAACAATTATAAAATAAAGGGGTGTATTTTATAAGCTAAATAAAATACGGTGTATAATTATAAATTTCTGGCTATAGATATTCAATTTAGATACGTAATCAGGAATCGAAACGGAAAGCCGTAGATTTCCTCAATATACGACACTTTGACGATCGAACAGATTTTGTATGTACTTCCTCTTTTGTACATTATCTGCATATACACATAATACTCTATTTTTTCGGTCGAATCTGCATACACATAATACATACATATAAATATCTCAACATTTCAATACACACGTTTTTTTTGGTTCTCTAACTAAAATCTCTCTTTCAAAAACTCAAATCTGATAGTACTGAAAACAATAGATTTTAACCGTTTAGGCAGTCTTATTATGCCGTTAAAATTATCTTTCTTATTGTTCAAAACTTAATTATACGACGCAAAGTAATCCGTCAAAAGTTTCTTCAAAATTTGCAAAAGAAAACTTGTAAATAAGAACGGTACATGATTGTGCTCATATTTTAAATCAGACAATAGATGCATCATTACTTAGAGATCCAAAGAACAAAACTTGATGTGAAGATTACACACAGAGTTACTCTTATCATTTCTTTTCAATCTTCACGATCTTCCTCCATG